TCCTAAGTTATGTTGTCCATAAACTTAACTTAGGTACTATAAACGGTGTTACTGTGTGCTACACAAGAGGTAAAGGATATAACAGAAAAGGATGCCCTCTGTGGCATAATATTCGACAACCAGCTTGGCAATAGGGGAAAACTCCTTATTCATGGCTTTTGATAATTTCCATGGAGTAAGCACTCTCAAACTGGATGGTTTTAGTCTACCAGTTTGATGTCACCAAACACTGAGCTAGAGCATATATGAACAACTAGTCATAAAAATGAACAGCCAGTCATGCAGAGCTTTGGAACTGCTCCAGACAAGCCACTAGATGCTCTTTGGAGTTGGCTGTTAGCCACTGGCTTTTGCAACTGATCTACTCTCCACTCTGATTTCTAATTTCTTATTATATGCTCCTGTCCTTTATCTTACACCCCATAGGGCTAAAACTAGGCTCCTTATCTTGCCCTATCAAAAGTTCATTTATTTTCCTCCATATACTGCTAATAAATATTAAATATAAACTATAATATAGGTTCTTCTTGAATTAATTTCATGAGGAAACAAGACTTGGGGATTATTATCCATACTGTAGAGATTTTAGAAATTCAAAGTTCAAACTGAACCATAAGATAGTCAAGGGAATTCAAATGTGAGCACCAGATTCTGACAGTAAAACCCACTTTCTTCACAGCATCTTACTTCCCATCCAATGGCAAGACCATGTCTTTCTCACCTTGATTGATACAGGCAAATTTGAGGTAGCATTTGCAATCAATATTAATTACCCAGTCTTATCTCTTCATCAGAGTGCTGATGTTCCTGCAAATATCTGCCCTATTTCTATGTTTAAGCTGCTAAAAAGCAAACAGCGTGCTTCTTCTTCATCTTGTACCTTGCTGGAGCAAAAATTCTTACAGAGATAGCTACTTAGTGGATCTTAGCAAGTAAAATAATTAATGAACAAGGAAGTATTTGGAATATTTGTACTGTATTACTGCTGTAATATTCTTCTGCCATTCGGGTTATAAGGCACCAGTGATTTTGTGCATAGCAGATCAGATTTTATACTTCAGAAAAATGCAGGCTTAGTTTGCTGCAATGACAGACAGAAGATGGATACAAAATATGTTCAAATTTGGGTTTGAATTGTGAGGATTGCCTGTGCCATTGTGTTTCCATCCTAGAGCTCTTATACCCATTTCTGTCTGGAATATGATTTAGACTTCAGGGGCTCTTAAATGAGTTTAAGACAATATCTTTCCTTACATTCTGATTAATTTATGGGACTCCTGAGAGTTTCCTCTATACTTTCAGGAAGCCTTACTTGGGGACCAGAGCTCAGCAATCGATCCACATTTCTCTGAATTACCAGAGCTGGCTGCAGTAGTCTGTGCTCAGGACAAACTTGCTAATGCGAGGGGATTATGTAGTACTCTGTGTAAGTGCACAAAGAGATGCAGTTTCTAGTTTATATAACATCTGTGTATATTTTCTGCACCCTAACAACATAGAGAAGTTGCTTTATAACTGAGTGTGCCTCAGGGCTTTTCTGCATATAGTAACTCAGAAGGCTGCAGTAAGACGTACCACACAGAGCTTGTCTACTTAGAGAAGTTAGCAGGGCTTTCTGACTGCTCCTGACCATAAAGGCATCTGCATGTGTAGAGTAGTTAACAACTCTAAAATTACCCAGTAATCCACAAGAGATACCTGATTTCTGCGATTACGCTCCTTCTGTTCCATCATCTGGTTAATGCTGTCAGTTACTGTTTATTGTAAACATTTCCAAATACATTTCTTTTAAGTCAGCACAAAGCGATTTAGAACAGTTGCAGAAACCATTAACTATAAGTAACATTATGTTAAACAGTATATGACAAATTGAAAAATATTAACCCAACAAGTTGAGTATCAGCAATGTAAATGGATTCAATATAGAGTATAAGTCTCAGAGCTCTTACAGGCATGATAAACACACTGTGGATTAATATATTTCTTTAGTGCATTTTTGCATGTAAGCCATAACAGCCAAGATTGAGCTTGACAAAAAGCTTCTATTATTATATCTCAATTCATCTTCCCTTACTGAACTACTAGTAAGGACTCGTGCTGTGAGAGGTTTGTCTTCCATAGAAGCCTTCAGAATGGAGGACAGCCATTCACATCATTTCGGTGGCAGGAGGTACAACTTTCCACAAATAGGATGGGCAAGGGTAAAGCTTACATGAAAAACCCCGAGGTGACTTCTGTTGCTGTGTCCTATATCTTATGGTGACGTAACTTTGATGATTATAGTTCATTCTCTACTTTGTACAATTGACCTTTACATGAGAGGTGAGGGAATGGGCACTCATATCTCTCCAGGAATGCCAATTTGAATGAATAGCATCAAATTACTCTTTGAGCCTTTTATGTGGGTTGAAGCAAAGAATAAGAGAACCTCTCAGTTAGGTCTTCAGTTCCTCCCATTTCAACTTTAGACTGCATGGTGATACTGCAAGAAAGCAAAGAAAATTATATTCAACTTCATGGGGGTATTACTGTTAATGGAGACTCTATATTAAGAAAGCAATTCTCTGTAATATTTAACTCAAAATCTGTGTTCCTACATTTTGCAAGTGATAGAATTACAACCAAAATAATTTAATGACCATAACTAAGTGGTAAGCAATAAAGTTTATATTCCAAACACTACAAATGGATGTATATGGCTTGTTATTTTCTTAGAAAACATCCTTTTTAATCCATGTGTGTGTTTCTAGTCTCCCATTTGTCTTACTTGGTCTGCCTTTGTCTCTATTCTCTCTGAGCCTGGTTGCCTTGGTAACAGCACATACATGCTTGTATGTGAAGTTCTCCTTGGGCATACATTTATTTCTATGGAAACAATGATGTCATTGGTGTGGGTAGGTGGTTAGGGAGAGCAAAGTGAAGAAGCCTGGAATACTGATCACTTTTTTTGGCCATGAAATGTATCATTAAGTTTTTGAGTTAACAAACCATACTTTTGTCTTTATTTTGATGTGTTCATCAGCTATATTTTCCAAATTTACAGACTTGATGGAATAGAATGAAATAAAAGTATAAAATATATCTCATAGCTCATTATTATATGTAATATCTTAAGACTCAACACAGATATGTATATATATAATAACATTAAGAGAATGATTACATTAATCTTAAAAGTCAGAAAGCAAAAAGTTTATCCCAATAGTATTGTTATTAGTAAATATTATGGGACTGGCAAGATGGCTTAGTGGGTAAAAGCACTTGCCACCAATCCTGACAACCTCAATGATCTCTGGGACCCACATTGTACAGAGAGAAGGGACTCCAGCTAGCTGTCCTTTGACCTCCACACACATCCCCTGGCATTCACATGCTCAGCTATACAAAGGAAATAAATGAATAAGAAATAAATAAATGTAAATGAAATTTTAAAATTGTGAAAGAAATTTTATATTAACATCAAAGCAATGAAAGATAGATGGTGAATCAAAGAAAAGAAGTCCATACTTACAGTCATTATTATTTTGGGGGGGTACAGTGAACTTTATTGGTCAAGACAGTCAGGCTCCCTAAGCTCTCCCTTCTTCTGGGAGTCTGCAATGGAAACGGTGAAGGGAGATAATCAGTGTGTAGTGGCTGAGTTGGGGCAGGGACTCCTCAGCCGAGAACCTCTTTCTTCCTCCTGCTGGGGCAAGTGGTCAGGCCTTCTTATTCCTGGAGGCCATGTGGACCATGAGGACCATGAGGCCTACTGCCCTGTTGTTATAGTCAAATTCGTTGTCATACCAGAAGATGAGTTGACAAAGCGGTCATTGAGGGCAATGCCAGTCCCAGCATCAAAGGAAGAAGAGTGTCTTTGTTAAAATCACAGCAGGACCTGGTCCTCAGTATAGCCCAGGATGCCCTTTAGGGGGCCCTTCGATGCCTGTTTCACCACTTTCTAGATGTCATCATATTTAGCAGCTTTGTCCTGATGGCAGGTCAGATCTCCAATAGACATATTAGGGGTAGAAACACCGAAGGCTATGCCAGTGAGTTTCCTGTTCAACTCTGGGATGCCCTTGCCCTTGGTCTTGGCAGTGCCAGAGGATGCAGGGATGATGCAGGGCAACCCCACCACCATCATGCTACATTTTCCCAGAGGAGTTGTCCTTAGTCTTCCAGGTACCTGTGATGGCATGAACTGTAGTCACGAGTCCCTCAACAATGCCAAAGTTGCCATGGATGGCCTTGGCCAGGGGGCTAAGCAGTTGGTGGTCAGGAGGTGTTGCTTATAAACTTGAGGGACTTATCATACTTCTCATGGTTCACACCCATCACAAACATAGGGGCATCAGCAGAAGGGAAGAGATAATGATGCTTTTAGCTCCTTCAAGTGGGCCCGGCCTTCACCATGGTAGTGAAGACACAAGTAGACTCCACAAAATACTCAGCACCAGTACCACCCTGTTTGATGTTGGTGGGATCTCACTCCTGGAAAATGGAGATGACCTTCCCATTGATGACAAGTTTACCTACCATCTTCAGCCTTGACTGTACCGAAGAACTTGCCATGGGTGGAATCAAACTGGAACATGTAGAATATATAGCTGTGGTCAATGAAGAGGTCACTTATGGCAACAGTCTCCACTTTGTCAGAGTTGAAGGCAGCCCTGTAACCAGGTACCAGATAGGGCCAAATCTGTTCACTCCAACCTTCACCATCCTGTCTCAGGGATGAGGCTGGCACTGCACAAGAAGATGCTGCTGTCTCCGTAACAGGGAGGATCAGAGAACTTATAGCCATTATTCTCAAAAAAAAAAAATCTTAGTTTTAGAAAACATGAAGATATAATAAGAAATGATAGGTACTGAAGTCTTTTCTACAACATCAAAAAGTTCACATGTAATAGATATTCAATTTTTTTTGTCTTAAGAAGCTTTTAAGTTTTTCGAAATAACTATGCCCCTTGCCCCTACTTGTCTGCTATTCAGTCCAGTCTATTTTCTTTTCTTTCTAGACAATGTGGAAACCTGCCTATGATTTTCTATACACATGGAGTGCTCACTATGGAAATAGCTACAGAGACCTGTTACAAGACCTTCAATCAGCTTTGGATACAATGAAAAACCCCGTGACCAAACAGTGGAGAGACTTAACTGGAACTTTAGTGCTAGTAAATTCTTTAGAGGTTTTGAGAACGACTGCATTTTCCACTTCTGAGGATGTATAGAATCGAAGCATGTTTGAGAGGCAGGGAAAATGGCAGAGGAAAAGTGTGTGTGTATGTGTGTGCTGTGTGTGTGGTGTGCGGAGTGTTTGTGTGTGTGGTGTGTGTGTGGTATGTGTGTGTGGTATGTTTGTGTGTGTGATATGTTTGTGTGTGTGGTGTGTATGTGGTGCGTGTGTGGTGTGTGTGTGGTATGTTTGTGTGTGTGGTGTGTATGTGGTGTGTTTGTGTGTGTGGTGTGTATGTGGTGTGTGTGGTGTGTATGTGGTATGTGTGTGTGGTGTGTTTGTGTGTGGTGTGTGTGTGTGGTGTGTGTATGTGTGTGTGTGTGTGGTGTGTGTGTGGTGTGTTTCTGTTTGTATATGTGTTGGGGGGGAGAAAGAAGATGAACTCAGAAAAGATATTTTACTTATTGTGTGTGGTGTGTGTATGTGTGTGTGTGTGTGTGGTGTGTGTGTGGTGTGTTTCTGTTTGTATATGTGTTGGGGGGGAGAAAGAAGATGAACTCAGAAAAGATATTTTACTTATTTTCTCTATGTTTGGAAAACGATTTTTACCTAGTGAAATCAAAGTCTGGCATACTTTCCAAGATTGGATTTTGTAATCAAACCTGTTTCTGTGTGTGTTCCAAAGGCAAACATTAAAGTGCTCTGTTATTGAGAAAGGAAAGAAAAGCCCTCTCTTTTTCAATGTTACTTCAATTTTCTTCAGTTAAAATAAATGATGGTTAGAATAATAGCATCATGCATATACCTCGGTAAACAGGAGGCTTTAACATGGGCAACTGGAATTTAGTGAGGCAGGGAGACAGGAGGAGCGAAGATGCTCTGACCTAAACTTCTGAGGCCGCAGGGCCTTGACACAATGGAGTCAGCGGGCATTCCTCCTTTCTTTTCTTTTTTTTTTTTTTTTTTTTTGAATCTGCAAGAGGACACACAGGGCAGTGTCAAGTAGGTTTTCTGTCTGAAAAGGCTGGTTCTATTTTTGAAAACTTCATACCACATAGCAGAATAGTAAAAAGGATGAAAAATAAAAATGTATGCTAAATCTCACAGGGAAAAGGCAGTACCTTTGTTTTAAATGAAGCTTGCTTCTCTATTTTACGGTCTCTTGAAAATTTTCAGAAGGAAAACAGGACATCAACAGAAATCCTGTCTGCAAACACGGACCTGGAATTTTCATCAACTTCCTTCAAGCATATTGGGGCTATATCTGATCCTATTTAATTTGAATGTTTCGCCTATGATCAGCATGCAAAGCAGTTCTTTAGCCCTTGGGATTTTTTTTTTTAATAACAAGAGTTATTATAAAACAACAACTATCACAAAAATCTGATTTATTAGCATTGATATAACAGCATCAATCTCCAAATACTGATACCTTTGTGTGTATGGTCACATAAACTGTGTGTGTGTGTGTATGTGTGTGTGTGTATGTGTGTGTGTGTGTGTGTGTGTGTGTGTGTAAATGTGCAACAGGGTGCATTACAACACTTGTGGAAAACAAAGCTAATATGAGACCTTGGGTCAATATAAATGTCATGGATTAACAGAGTTCACAACAAATGGTCTGTGCATTTCCATATGTTCAGTCTTTTGGTGACCTGTCAATATTTATGTGCTTGGGTCTTCCTTTGCTTATTGTTATTCACTCAACAGAGGGTGTACCTAAATGGTAGGGAAAGTAGGTGCTGGAGGTATAGGATAATGAGAAGGAGCACATGATTTCTGACATCAGTACTAAGTGATAGGAACAGAGAATTGACACCAGTAACTGTAAAATGGCATCTAGAATGACAATTGCAATGGAGAACTTGTGATGATAAAATATGTAGAGCTTAGATAGGGGCCATCATGTGAATGGGTGACTTTCTGGGAAAAACTGATGAGCCTGAAGCTTAAATACCTCACCTATGTTGGCAGGGTACAAGGGGTGGTGTTGGACCCTCCAGACAGGAGACAACTCATTATTACAGGGGATAGAGAGACAGAGTGACTGAGTGAAAGGACAGGATAAAGACATAAAAAGTAAAAGGAGGGGGTGAGATTGGGATGGAAGAGGCTTAGGTCTATTAAAATGACTAGGATTTAAGAAGGAATGACACACCCTCAAAGGTAATTTGAATAAGCTGAATAAGGTTTTTGTTTGGGGATCTTGAATAAAACATGTCCATTTGGCTAAAAAATAAAAAGCAAAATCTTTTTAGAGCTTTTAATACACCCATTCTGGGGTATTTGATATGCTGGCAAAGGTAATTCAAATTAACATTTAAGAACAATCTTTAAGGCTTTCAATATTTATATTTGATGATAAGAGAACAGAGCCTGACCAAGAGTTTATGGACACATATTCAAGGACAGGGCTTATTTTAATTGAAAATAAATTCACTGAGAGGAAAAGAACAAACAAACAAAAAAAAACCCCACTCAATTAGTTAGTTCAGGATACAATGACTTAAAGTGGTAATTTTGCATTCTTTAGAACATTCTTGGAATCTTATTAACATGTCAGCAAACCAGAGAAATTTGGGAAGGAATAGTAAGGAAAGTAACTGGGTTTTTCCAGTCTGTAAGATCTGAGACGATAAAGAGTTTGTTAGATATTAGTGTAGTAAGATAAAAGAAATCATTTCAGGTTGTACCACATCAAATGACTTAAAGTGGTAATTTTGCATTCTTTAGAACATTCTTGGAATCTTATTAACATGTCAGCAAACCAGAGAAATTTGGGAAGGAATAGTAAGGAAAGTAACTGGGTTTTTCCAGTCTGTAAGATCTGAGACGATAAAGAGTTTGTTAGATATTAGTGTAGTAAGATAAAAGAAATCATTTCAGGTTGTACCACATCATGTTTGAGATTGTGGTTGGGAATTTTAAGAAGAGTTTTAAAAAATGAAAAACTCTCCATAATTTAAGGATGAAGTGCTGGTTTAAATATTAACACACAAAAATATATTTTATGATCATATAGTAAGTCCTTTCATGGGAATGTTAAACCCATGCCAAGTCTGTACTCACAAGTTTATTCTTATATATTTTTATAAATTGTTACAACTTTTCTGAATTTTATAATTTTCTTCCTGTAATGGATTTTCCTAATCAGAAAAGATTAATTTAGCAATCACAAATTGCCTTTCATATTTGGCAGAAAGTCAATGGAATTAATAAGGAGCTTACATCTGTTCCATGACATCATCAAAAGCATCAAAAGCTATTAATCTAAAACTTCTCTGAGCATCTCAAAAGTGGAAAGTGCTCAGACGAACCTTTCAGTCTTTTCACCTTTAATATAGTGATGCATGAATTACCTGGGGATTATAGCTCAGTAGATAGCTTGTACTGTGACAATTTTTCTATGTAATCCACAAATTCTTGGTTCCTTTCTATGGGTGGTTTCATAGGAAATTAGGGGATTCCTTCAATAATGTACCATTAATTTGTTTTACTCAATAGCAGACACAGCACACTTTGGTGTCATATAGAAAATACTGTGTAAAGTTTGAACTTGGAGATAACTAAGTTTATGGAATAACAGATCAGTGGTTGGCACTGGGCTGAGAAAAGTTTCTATTAGTAAAAGCTCTGACTATGTGACATAAATGTGCACTGGAAAACATACACTGAATGTGAGTACCATGTCTGGAGGCTTCAAGTCTTGCATTTTCATACTTTACTATTGTAACGAAACTTTTGGTGACTCTTTGATGCCTAAGTAAGAGTTGAGATAACATAAAAAGAGAACAATAAAAACTTAGGTGAGTGTAGGCTTTGATGTTGTGCTGTTTTGTTTTGAGACAGGGTATCCATGTAGCCCCAGCTTGTTTGCAACTCATTATGTAGACCAGGCTGGCCTCACTTTCACAGATATTCTCCTACCTATTCTCTTACCTTTGCCTCCCAAGTGCTGGGATTAAAGGCATGAGCCACCATGCCTGGCATAGTCTGAGTTTTTAAAATTAAAATGGATTTTCTTCTGTTTATACATACACAATTTCCTCCTCCTTTTCCTAGATAAAGCAAGAACCTATGTTCTGCTGTGTGACCCATAGGGACATACAGACATATAGACACATGACCCAAAGACTAAACATCTCCAGTGGACTCTGTAGGAGAATCCAGAGACATTTTTCAGTATAAAATAACATGTTGATAGCTGTTTTTTAAAATGCATACTTACTGGTCCACAAAATAAAAAGTAACTACTTATACTACAAAATCTAGAAATTGTACATGTCTAGCATCATACCTGATATCTAATGTATGTATTATTATTGATATTATGATCTCACTGAATTATTTTGTAAGGTACATGTGCTGTGTATTTTACATTGACTTTCTATTTCCATACATACAGAAAGTTTTAAGCTTAATAAATAGGTTTTCAATTTTGAATAATATTGCGAGTTTATATAGAAGAAATGAGGATGAGGAGACCAACAGTGGACAATAATTAGTGATTTCAAAAGAGAAGACCCTGAGCTCCGGGAATGCTTTCTTTGCAAGATGTCAGTCCCAAAGAAGAAGGCTGTGGCCTCTATTCTTTGCCCCTTAATTCCAATAAACCTTTAGGTCTATCACTCAGCCTTCTAAACCTCAGCTACTCAGTAGTAAGAGGAGAAGTTAAAGCCAGGTGACTTTTAAAGTTCTTATGTTTAAGTGTCTACAAATATATAAGGAGCAGAGTATGTTGTAATATTTTGCTATGAGGGAGAATGAAAAATATGAAAAATGATTTGAGTACTAGGTATCCATATTAAAATAATATTTAGAAATAAATTAAGAAAGGAAAGATTTATTTTGTCTCCCAGTTTAGAAGTTTCAGGCCATTATCACTTGGTTCAGTGCTTCTGGACAGATGACTTAGAGCATCATGATGGATGAGTGTGATGGAGGAAAGCTCCTCACATCATAGTGGACAGGAAGCAGAGAGAGAAAAAAAGCTGTGGACCAGGTATAATCTTTAAAGGTCCACCCTGTGTAACTTGCTGGACCCTCACCTCTTGAAGTTTCCATCAGTACCCAAAGCAGTACCACCAGTGAGAGACCAAGTCTTCAACATGGAGCCTGTGGGGACACCTACATTCAAAGCATAAAAATGTGCA